GTAGATGCACACTAAGACCAGGAAGGTGGCCATGAAGGAACTAGACAAAATCCTCAAATATAAAGATATCTCATTAAAAACCAAAGACAAAAAAATCATCCTTGCCACAGTAGTGATAGTTCCTCTGTCTGGTTGTGAAAACTGGACAATGAAGAAAGTTAGGAAGAGGAGAATGGACTCATCTGAAATGTGGTGCTGGAGGAGAGTTATGCAGACAGAAACCACGGACCACCAGAAAGACAAATAAATACATTCAAGATCAAATGAAGTCCAAATGTTCACTAGAAGCCAAAATGACTAAACTTGCATAATGTATTTTGTGCATTTTGGTTGGTCATTAAAGATACCGGCGTTTTGTAGATTTTGAATTTTGTTTTGTACTTTGCTTCAAGCTAATATGGCTTTTCCTGAATATGTAAACTGGGGCAATTGTACTTTGGAGACATGATGATATACTGTGACTCATTGGAAAAGATGCTGATGCCCAGTAATGTAGTAAGCAGTGGGCGAATGTACATGCAAGTATATTATGCACTCTGCTGCAGATTTTCTCACAATTGCATTGATGGTTAGTTGTCTTCACTTCCCTGTGCAAATTTGCATCCATTTGCACCTGTTCACCCTCCCTCTGCCAAAAATGCACAGCCATTCAATTCCTTTTGAAGCAGATGGACAGCCACAAGTGGATAATATGCATTTCTGCAGATTTCTGTGATACTATGATAAAAAAATGCAAAGCCTTTCCCTGTGGAGTTTAAGAAGTCGTCCCCCCCAAAAGTCTGAACTCCTGAGAATTGTGTGTCGCCAGATCACATTCTATATGACTGGAACAAGGAGTATTTAAATTGTAGAGACTCATGGCCTAGTAGTTTGAGTGTTGGGCTACGACTCTGGAGACCAGGGTTCGATTCCCAGGTCAGCCATGAAACCCACTTGATGACCTTGGGGAATCATGGCATGGATCTACAAGACTTAAGCAGGGACGGCAAAGACAAACCTCATCTGAACAAATCTTGCAAGAAAACCCCATGATAGGTTCACCTTAGGGTTGCTATAAGTTGGAAACAACTTGAAGGCACACAACAACAACTAGACTAGCCCAGTAGCAAAAGAGGAAAACGATATAACAGATGGACTGATTCAATGAAGGGAGCCACAACCCTGAGTTTGCAAGACCTGAGCAATAATAATAATATAATAATAATAAAATTTTATTTTTAACCCGCCCCTCTGCAGCGCAATCGGGGCGGCTTACAGCAAGTTAAAATACAGCAGTTAAAACATTCCCAATTCCTACAACCCCCACCCAAAACCCACCCCTTAAAATAGAATTAAACTAATTGATTTAAAATCAGACATTTGTCAAATTAAAATAACCAACAGCAACAATAGCTGCATGTAACAGATTGGTGCTTTTGGAGGTCTCTCATTCAGAGGGTCACCATAAATTGAAATAGACTTGACAGCTAGTAAGAACAACAACCAGTGCGGTTTGTTGTTATGTGCCTTTAAGCTGACACTGATCTATAGCTACCCAATGCTAGGTATTATTTATTCAGAGGAGGTTTGCCACTGCCTTCCTTTGGGTGAACTCAGGCAAGGCACACACTCTCAGCCTCAAAAGATCGCAACGTGACACAACATCCGGTTATGCCTTGCTCTCCCCAAATGTAACCTCCTGTGTGTCGCCTCTGGTTCTGTGAGTTTATCTTATATCTCTCTCCCCACCTCACTGGCTTTAAAATCACTGCCTTTCCAGGGTTCACAGAATCATAGAGTTGGAAGACCATCCAGCCCAACCCCATTCTGCCATGCAGGAACTCACATGAAAGCATCCCTGACAGGTGGCCATCCAGCCTCTGTTTAAAGATCTCTATAACATCTTGTAAAATCTTGGAGAATTACAGAACTGTGTGTTCCCATCACCAGGCTAAAGCATGGAATAACAGAATCAAAGGAGTCCCAATGAATCATCAGATGGATGCGAATTATTATTATTATTTGACATTTGGAGAGCCTTATCCATGGGTTTCTGTTTCTGCAAATGTCAGAGGATTCTGGGCAGAGCTTGAAAAAGTGACCCTTTTTTTGGTCAAAGCAACTCTTTGATGTTTGCAAGGGCTTCCAAACAGTTAAAGATGCTATTTCAGGTGGGGTCCCCCTGCCAAGCAACATTCCTGCCAAAAGATAATAGAATCATATATGCCTATAGCTGGAACAGACCCTAAGGGCTACCCAACCCAACATTCTTCAGCCATACAGGAAGACACCATTAAAATACTCCGGACAGATGGCCATCCAGCCTCTGTTTAAAAACCTCCAAAGAAGGAGACGCCACCACAAGTCATCTCCCAGATAACTGGTAGAGATGCAACATCACTTCTGGTCACCAAGATGGCACCTTCAACAGTACAATGATAGCCCCACAACACTCCAGAGAAGCCAAAAAATGTGTTGGAATGGCGCTCCAAGGACCAAAGCATGCCCATCCCCAAATAAATAAGTGAACTTGTATGAATGCTGCACCAGGTGATACAAATCCAGGTTGCCTGGACAGCTTGGTTGCATCAACTGACAGTTGGTTTTAGAAACTGGAGTTCCATGGTAGAAATTACTGAACAAGAACAACCTTTATTTGTAATGCCCTTTTCATCAAAGGGTGGAACATCAGACGTATATAATAAAAAAGCAAATGATAAAACACAACACTGTAAAATGCTAAAATAATATATGAACATACTAAAAAGAAAATCCTCACCAGTTGCTCGTTGGGTATTTTTCCTGATTTATTCTTTTCCAGAGGTAAGGCTTTCACCCAGACCATTTTCACATGACAAAATTATAATACTGTTAGGTAAAGGTAAAGGTAAAGGTAAAGGTAAAGGTAAAGGTAAAGGTAAAGGCATTCCCCGTTGACAAGGTTGTCAAGTCGTGTCCGACCGTAGAGGTTGGTGCTCATCTCCGTTTCTAAGCCGAAGAGCCAGCGTTGTCAGAGACTACTCTGTGATCACGGGGCCAACATGGTTTCACAGAATGCTGTTTACCTTCCCACCAAAGTGATACCTATTTATCTACTTGCATTTGCATGCTTTCGAACTCCTAGGTTGGCAGAAGCTGGGACTAATGATGGGCGCTCACCTGGGCCTCGAACTGCCAACCTGCCAATCTTGCAATCTGTTATTCCACTTTAATTGCCATGGCTTCATACGGTGGAATCCTGGAGTATGGGGAAGCACTAGAGCTCTTTGGCCGAGATTTCTAAGCACTCCTCTCTAAACTTCAAATCCCAGGGTTCCATGGGATGAAACCATGGCAGTTAAAGTGGAATCATGGTGCTATCACTGTATACAGAGTGAAAGGGGAATGTCATAGAATCACAGAGTTGGAAGAGACCCCAAGGGCCATCCAGTCCAACCCCCTGCCATGCAGGAACTCACAATCAAAGCCTCTGTTTAAAGACCTCCAAAGAAGGAGACTCTACCACCCTCCAAGGGAGTGTGTTCCACTAACGAACAATTCTTATGATCATAGTATAGGACCTGGAAATGTGAGTTGTTGATGACTAACATGTCCAGCACAGTCCCTGGCCATGTTGGCTAGGGGATTCTGGGAGCTGTGGTCCAAAATTTTGGGAGCTGTGGTCCTATCTTCCCCAAGCTCTTCTTCGGGGCTATCTCTCAGGACCCAACTGCAGGTCCAGTAAGATGAAATGGGTAGTGAATCCACTCCCATCTCCTTGGGACAGTGAATCCACTCCAGGCTTCAGAGAGCTTTAAAGGAGCTGTCCAAGGTCCTGAACAAAGTTTGGGGACACAGTCCACCACCAGCGATAATTCCTACACAGCTTGGATTAAAACCTGGTGTGGGAAACCTATCACAGGGTTTTTCTTGGCAATATCCGTTCAGAGGAAGTTCACCATTGCCTTCCTCTTGAGGCTGAGACTGTGTGACTTGCCTAAGGTCACCCAGTGGGTTTCTGTGGCTGAGCAAGGATTCGAATCCTGATCTCCCAGCTTCATCTGCACTGTAGAATTAATGCAGCTTGACACCACTTTAACTACCACGGCTCAGTGCTATGGATTTCTAGGATCTGTAGTTGTGTGAGATATTTACCCTTCTCTGTCGGAAGGCTCTGGTGTGTCACAGCAAACTACAAATCCCAGGATGAAACAGGATGCAGCCACGACAGCTCAAGAGTGCTTTAATTTCTGCTTCTGAACAACTATGAAAAGAGCATCACCGGTTCCTCTTTTGAGCTTTTCCATTCTGACTCCCTCCTTCAACTGGCCATTTTCTCGTTCTTTCTGTCCTCCAGTTTTCCCCAATTTTTCTCATTTTCCTTCCCAGTCCACACTCAACATTCTGTGGTTGCTGGCCACGCTCAAACTATCTCTGGGCTTTTTCTGGATTTATACCTCTAGATGCCTGCTCCCCATTAGAGGTTTTTAAAATATATATATTTTGGACCACAACATCCTCTCCTTATTTCTCCTTGGCTTCGCTTTTGCTCCAATCCTGTTGTCACCCACCGCACAATTTCTCTATTAGAAGCAGCTATAGCAAATTTGGTTTTGTGGTGAAGCACATGCTTCACAAGCTGGAATGATGAGACCCTTCTGATGTTGCATTGCAACTCCCAGCATTCCTCACCTCTGGTTAGGGCTGCTGGGCTTTCCAGTCCAGCAACAAGGGCATCATTGGCCATAAGGTTCTCATGTAGAAAGGCTAGCCTAAGTTCCTCCGCCTAGGTGCAGTGAGGATCATTCTGTTGGATCACAACTCCCAAAATCCCCCAGCCACCATGTTCAGTGGATTCTGGGAACTATTGTCAGAGATTTGCTGCTGCTGTTGCTGTGTGCCTTCAAGTGGTTTTTGACTTAGGATGATCCAAAGGTATATCATGGGGTTTTCCTGGCAACTTTCTTCAGAGGGGGTTTGCCATTGGCTTCCTCTGAGGCTGAGAGAGTATGACTTGCCCAAGGTTGCCCAATGCGTTTGTATGGCCAAGCTGGGATTTGAACCCTGGTCTCCAGAGTCATAGTCCACAGTGCTCAAACCATTATATCACACTGGCCTTCAATGTCAGAGATAGGAACTATTTAAAATCAACCGTGGCTGTGTCTGCACTGCAGAAATAATGCAGTTTGACACCACTTTTAACTGCCATGGCTCAATCTATGGAATAATGGAATTTGTAGTTTTGTGAACTATTTAGCCTTCTCTGTCAGAGAGCGCTGGTGACACAACAAACTACAATTCCCAGGATTCCACAGGATGGAGCCCTGACAGTTAAAAGTGTTGTCAAACTGCATGAATTCTGAAGTGCAAATGCAGCCTAAGTTATGGAAATTTCTCACAAAAAAGGGGCAAATTTTTAGAAATTCCTTTTTAAAACCTAAGACACGGTATAGGAGTTTAGATGCTGGATGAAGATACTGTGAAACCAGGGTTTGAATCCTGATTTGGCCATGGAAACCCACTCGGTGACCCTGAGCAAGTCACACTCTCTCAGCCTTGGAGGAAAGCAATGGCAAATCTCCTCTGAACCACAAACAGGAATTGAAAAGCACGTATTAAGATCCACAGGCAAAAGAAGAAACAAGTCTTCACGCGCTTACTGATGGCTTTATTTTTTAAAAAGATTTTATGAATATATATATTTATATTATATGGAGAGAGTTTTTTAGCTAGCTCCAGAAATTTCTGCTATTGATAGTCTTAAACAGTAATATAAAGGCTTAAATGCACTGGGCTTTTTACAAAACAGGATAGTCATAAAATCTTTTAAAATAATAAAATAGAACCATCAACAAGGACATGAAGACTTGCTACATCTTTTGCCTTTGAAAACTCCTCAAAACTTAGAAATCTTGCCAAGAAACCTCAATGATAAGTGTCACCATAGGTGGAAATTACTTCGCAATGACAGATGGGATTGATGGATTCATTTAATTCCAGGACTAAACTGTCAATTAAGTTATTGATTAATTAAAGGAAACGGTATAATCTGCCCTGCAAAATTAATGCAGTTTGACACTCGTGCTTTGGAACTCTGGGACTTGTAGTTTTGTGAGATATTTAGCCCTCCCTGTCAGAGCACTGTGGTGCCACAACAAACTACAAATCCCAGGTTTCCTGAGCATTGAGCCATGGCAATTAAAGCGGTATCAAACAGCATCCTTTCTCCAGAGCAGATGCAGCCAGTGCTGAAGATCCAACAATGTTTTCCATTTCCCAGTCAGTTCTTTACCCCAAACCTAGTTCTGAATTTTTGCAAAATGACCCTTTTGCTGTTTTTAGATCCTCAGGATTGGGGAATTGCAAATGTTAGGCGACAAGTTCCAAACCACTCGTTTTAGTGCATGAGAACATAAATGTAATTGTTAGATTTCCTCCCTTTCTAATTTAGGTTCAACTGATTATTATTATTATTATTATTATTATTATTATTATTATTATTATTATTATTATTATTAACTGAATGCAGGAACTCTTTTTCCTGATATCTTTCCAAACTCTGGTTGTCATTTGAACACCCAGCTTTTGCAAGGGCTGAAACAAAGTCTTGCAAAATGGACAGTCCTAAATCTCTTGGCTCAGTGAGCTGTATGCATTTATATTTAGGACTCTCAAATCAGTGTCTTATGATCAGTGTTTTTCCTCGGTGACTACCTTTGCCAGTCCCGTGTGGTTCAGGAATGAATGCCATTGTTGTTTATCTTTGCAATTAATCCAGAAAGCGCTAGCTCTTAATTGAGTTAGTGACTAATACAGAATCAATTCAAATCAAGATTAATCTGTGGCATGAACGGAGGCGGGAGAAGAGATTCACCGCTTCCCCTTTCGGCAGTGATGATGTGCTCACTAAATCCATTAAAATCTGGGATGATCAGATGCAACTAAATATGATTCAATTTCTCCCCTTTGTCTCTGGGATGACATCCCAGATGGCCCAAACCAGGCACTACATTGCCATCTTTTCTCTTGGCCCTGCTTCTCTGCTTTTATAACAGAAGCTTAGAAGGGAGAAATTAAAAAGGGTGACATTTTTTTTCCTGGCACAAAAAAGAGAAAGCCTGGTAGAAGTTAGAAAATGGAATCAGTTGAACTACAATACCCAGAATCCCCCAATCAGCCTGGCCTCTATTTATTTCTTTAATTTATACCCTGCCATTGCCCTGGGATGGGATCCAAGGCAGCTTGGTTCTTGTTCTTGTTCTTATGTGCCTTCAAGTCGTTTCTGAATTAAGGTAGGTGACCCACAGGGTTTTCTTGGCAATATTTGTTCAGATGGGTTTTGCCTTTGTCTTCCTCTGAGGCTGAGAGATTGTGACTTGCCCAGGTTCACCCAGTGGGTTTCCATGGTTGAGGTGGGATTTGAACCCTGGTATCCCAGCGTCCTAGTCCAACACCCAAACCACTACACTACAAGGGCTCTGGAAGGTTGAGGACAGGATCAGAAAGTAAAATGACCTTAACAGATGAGAAAGCTGGGGTACAACTAACAAAATGAGTTTCAACAGGGATAAAGGTAAGGTGCTACACTTAGGTTAAAAAATGAAATGCATAGATGTAGGATGGGGGACACCTGGCTGAACAAGACTAACGTGTGAAAGAGGTCTAGGAGTCCTAGTAGACCACAAGTTGAACATGAGTCAACAGTGTGATGCGACAGCCAAAAAGGCCAATGTGATTCTAAGCTGCATCAATTGAAGTATATTGTCTAGATCAAGGGAAGTAATAGTGATACTGTATTCTGCTTTGGTCAGGCCCCACCTGGAATAATCCTGGGTCCAGTTCTGGGCACCACAATTCAAAAAGGATGTTGAGAAACTGGAAGTGTGCCCAGAGGAGGGTGACCAAAATGGTGGTCTGGAAACCAAGCCTTATGAGAAGAGACTTAGGGAGCTGGGGATGTTTAGCCTGGAGAAGAGGTGAGATGCTAGCCTTGTATTAATATTTGAAGGGTTGTCATATTGAGGATGGACCAACCTTGTTTTCTGCAGCTCCACAGAAGAGCCACAGAAACCCACCGGGTGACCTATGACAAGTCTCAGCCTCAAAGGAAGGCAAAGAAAAGCCCCCGTCTTGCCAAGAAAACTGCAATAGGGTCACCTGGGGGTTTCTACAAGTTGGAAATGACCTGAAGACACACAACAACAAAAATTATAATATAACCATAACGGCAATAAAACAATTTTTATTATATAATTACATATGCCCCATGTTCCTTAGAACCCTAGCATATACAAACCAATGTTTCAAACCATGAGAACTACGAACTTATCTTGTGGAAACTCCCAACACTTAGTATACTCGGCCCTCCATATGCACGGATCCTGCACCCATGAATTCAGCCAACTTGACCACAGTTTGAAAATATTCGCACACAAACATTTCCTCGATTTTGCCACTTTATATTAGGGACACCATTTTAGTACGCCACTGTCTATGACGGGAACTGAGCAAAATCCACCGATTATGGTATCTGTGGGGTTCCGGGAACCAAAGCCATCCGAGTGTGATGCTGATCTCTGTCCCTACCTCCGGCCATTCTGTCTTTCCACAGCGAGCAATTCACACCATCCGCCGTGACGTCCCCCGCTCTCATAAACAATGCTGGTATATCAGTCACAATTGACGGTGTTGGCTGAGGCGAGAGAACAGGGTGTTTTATTAGCAAGAGTGCAAATCCCATGCTTAAAGCTGCACATGGCAAGAGAGATGGACTGAACACAAGCCAAGTGCCTGTTTCCTTCCATCTCAGTATGTCTTCTGGTGGGCAGCCCTGGATGAAGGCAAGAGGGGATGACACAGGTACGCATCATGCGCAGGATGTTCATAATCATGACCCATCAAATGGGCAGCCCATGAGTTAAAACACTGAGACAACCCAGCTTTAACTGAAAACATCCAGGGGTAGCCGTGTTGCCCGTATAGCTAATCCAGAAACATCAAAAATCCTCCGGACAGTGATGCCTTTATTGGGCCAACCCAAATGCACAATATACATGTTGCAAGCTTTTGAAGCTCCATTGGCTTCTACACCAGGCAAGGGATTAAAAACCATACAGGAGAGGGGGGAAATGGCTTGCTTTTTGCTATTTTTGTTCTTAGTTCAGATGGTATGGAGGAGTATTTCTTGCAGGCTGGCACCTCTGGCCATAGGGCTACTGGGAAATTCTCAAAGTCCAGGAAACTTAACATCCATTTGCAACACAAAAAGATACTCAGCTTTAACTGAGTGAGTCACAAAGAGGCCTTGAGAGTGGACACCAGGACATCAGAAATGAGAAAAGGAGCTGTGGCGGAAGATGGAGAGCATCCCTGGGAAGGTGGCCAGTAGATTATCTTTATCACAACCATGGAAAGCTCCCATTTACCAAGGCAGGAAGGTAGTCCATCCAAGAAAACATTGACACTCTCCCCAAGGTCTCAGACACACAGAGATCTTTCCTAGCCTGGTTTCCCAAATTCCTTTCTGCAGGAGATGGAACATGGATCCATCTGGGTGTCCCTATCCCAGCTCAGCCATGTAAACTCATTGGGTGAACTTTGCAAGTCACTCTCTCTCAGGCTCAGAGGATCATAGAATCATAGAAAAGGATGGCAATAGCAAATCCCTTCTGAAGTAACTGAACCAAACCCCATGATATGGGACCATCTGGGTGAACTTGGGCAATTTAGGGTAGCCATACCCTGGAAATGACTTGAAAGTGCACAACTAAAAATCATTGGGCTACAGTCTCCTTCCAGAGCTTCTTCCACAATACTGCATCCAGTTCTGGGTACCAAAATTCAAGAGGGATACTGACAAGCTGGAGTGTGTCCAGAGGTGTCCAGAACCTTCAAGCCCTATGACGAATGACTTAGGGAACTGGGTATGTTTAGCCTGGAGAAGAAAAGGTTAAGAGGTGTTATGACAGCCCTGTTTAAATATTTGAAGGGATGTCATATTGAGGAGGGAACAAGCTTGTTTTCTGCTGCTCCAGAGAATAGGACATGGAGCAATGGATTCAAACCACAAGAAAATCATCACATCAACATGAGGAAGAATCTCCTGGTGGTAAGCACT